AGTGGGCCTAGTTTATTGAACTCTGACCCACCCACAACTCCTTAGTTTGAAGCACTTGGCTCCAAGTGCAAATCTTCCAAAGCGGCTTCTCTTTTATTTAATTTTTTAAATATTTTTCTTTTGGTTGTTCAAGACAGGGTTTCTGTATGTAGCTTTGGAGTCTGCCCAGGAACTTGCTCTGTAGACCAGGCTGGCCTTGAACTCAGAGATCCTCTTGCCTCTGCCTCCCGAGTGCTGGGACTAAAGGCGAGCAACCCACCACCACCACCTGGCCTTTTTACTTTTTGGATTTATTTTTATTTCCTGCATATAAGTGTTTTGTCTGTGTGTGTGTGTGTGTCTGCACCGTGTGTATGCAGCAACCACAGAGGTCAGAAGAGCTCTGCAACTGGAATTAGACTAGTTGTGAGTGACACCGAGTGAGTGCTAGGAATTGAACCTGAGACCTCTCTGAAAGAGGACCTCCTGCTGAGCTATCATCTCTCCAGCCTACCTCTGTCCCCTGGCAACTTGCTCTGTAGACCAGGCTGGCCTCGAACTCACAGAGATCCGCCTGCCTCTGCCTCCCGAGTGCTGGGATTAAAGGTGTGTGCTACTACTGCCCAGCCTCCAAAGCTTTTTCATAGCAAGGGTGATTGACATTTGAAGAAAAAAATTAACAAAAATCTTAAAAGCCCAGTAAATATTTTCCCTGATTATATTGTGAATTCTTTTCATTTGCACCATAATTTGTAAGATTTGAGCACTTAAAATATATCGATGGGAGCCTAGAGAGATGGCTCAGAGGACCTGGGTCTATTCTCAGCACCCACCTGGCAGCTCACAACTGTCTGTAACTCCAGTTCCAGGGGATCCAATAACCTTACACAGACATACAGTTGGGCAAAACACCAATGTACGTAAAATACAAATAAATTATTAAAAAAAATACATCGATGGATGGTGGTGGTGACACAAGCCTTTAGTCCCAGCACTCAAAGGTAGGCAGATTTCTGGGAGTTCGAGGCCAACACGTTTACAGAGCTTGTTTCAGAACAGCAAAGGCTATACCAAGAAGCCCTGTCGAAAGAAAGAAAGAAGAAAGGAAGGAAGGAAGGAAATAAAGAGAAAAAGGAAACTGATGGAGGCTAGAGAGATTGCTCTGCAATTAAAATCACTTGCTGCTGCTCTTTAGAGAACCTGGGTTCAGTTCTCAACACCCACATGAGTGTTCACAACCATCTGTATGTAACTTGTTTTTGAAGCTAATGTCCACTTTCAGCCCTGGAAGTGACTGCATGCACACGGTGCACTTACGTAATGAACACACATAAAAATAAAATCTTTGAAAAACAAGCAAACCTGATGGTTTCGAGGTACAGTGCTTACCAGCCCAGAATTACAAAACCAAACCAAGGGAGCATGCATACATTGCAATCGTCTGGGGATTGCCCTTGTTAGTCTATTGGGTGGCTGTAACAAAACACCATAGACTGAATGGCCTGCAGACAACATTCACTCATACGTTTGGGAGCTGAAAGCTCTGGATCATGTTTTGTAGACTGATATTCTTAGATAACCAACTAGCCACCTCCCAGTGGCCCTACCTCCTATGCTATTACCTTAAGAGTCTGGATTTGACCTGTAAAGTTTGGGAGGACATAATCTAACCACAGTTTGTGTCGTGAAACACTGTGTGAAAGGACTGGAGTCTCTTCAGGACCGTCTTCACGGCCAGGACAATGAAGCATGTGGTGAACAGGTTCCTACTGCAATGTGGTCAGATACTTTTGAATGTGGGATGCTGCAGCTTGTACATTTTTTGTACTATTATAAAGGGAGGTTGATAATATTTAAACCTTTTCTAAAAAAATCACAAAAGGAAGAGGCATGAGTGTAAGATCCATGAGCTACAATGCCAGGTGTAAAGAAGAGTGAAGAGGCCTGACTTAACGTCAGCGCAGCCATCACAGGCTGCAGACTAACAATGCTGGGACTAGGCCTCACATTTACAATAACCAGGAAAAACCACACAGGCTGTATCCTGTGGGGCACCAATCAGAATTAAACAAGTGCCGGATGCTGCAGACCATTTAAGATAGCTTACCTAACTTGCATATAGGTTGTCGATTTCCTTGCAGCAACACTGGTACCAATCCCTGTTTGACAAGACTTCGGTTACCTCACTGCTGCCCAATCAGGAGTTCAGTCCCCATCTGAATCTGGAAATCTCACCCCCATCCTTTACTCCTTAAAAACCCTGACATAACCCAGCTCAAATCTCTCCCTGATCCAACCACTGTGTGGGAATGGACAGTCCCAAGCTCGAGCTTGCAATAAAGGTTCTTTGCTTTTACACAGGAACTGAACTCAGACTCCTGGTGGTCTCCAGGGGGCTCATGACTTAGGCATAAGAGTAGCAGACCCTGTCCTGCCCTGAGAGAAACATTAAACTGCCCTATCACCTTGGTTTCTGTGAGGTCACTTTTAGAGATGTATCTTGAGTGAAGAACCTTAGAAGTATACAGGATTTAGTCACTAAGATGTTTAGCATAGTTGGGTTTTTTTGTTGTTTTTGTTTTTTGAGGGGATGCATTAGAGACAAAGTTCCACCATGCTTCCCAGGATGGCCTCAAACCAAGATCCTCCTGCCTGAGACTTGAAAGTGCTGGGCTCCAGCTGGCAAGATGGATGTGGATAAACTTGCTGCATCCATGTAAAGGTGAGAGAACCAAGCCCAGGAAGCTACCCTGACTTCCATATGTGTGCACACACAATAATAGTAATAAAAATTGTAGGGGCTGGCTGGAGAGAGGACTCGATGGTTGAGAGCTCGCTAGATCAAAATTCCCAGAATCCACATTGGGAGGTTCACAACTGTGACCCCAGTTCAGGGGACTGAACCCCCTCTTCTGGCCTCTGAGGGAGCCTGCACACATGGTGCACATACACTGTGTTGGCTTGAATGAGAGCGACCCTCATAGGTCCATATGTTTGAATGCTTAGTTCCTAGTGGGTGGAGCTTTTGGGGAAAGGATTAGAAGGTATGGCCCTTGTACTGGGGAGATGGCTCAGAGGTTAAGAGCACTGACTGCTCTTCCAGAGGTCCTGAGTTCAATTCCCAGCAACTGCATGGTGGCTCACAACCATCATCCTTTATGAGATCTGATGCCCTCCTCTGGCATAAAAGAAGACATGCAGATAAAGCCCACAGATACATTGTAAATAAATACATTGTAGGAGGTGTAGACTTATTGGAGGAGTTATTGGCACTGGGGGGGTACCTTTTTTTTTTTCTTTTCCTTTTTTCTGGTTTTTCGAGACTGGGTTTCTCTCTGTAGCTTTAGAGCCTAACCTGGCACTCGCTCTGGAGACCAGGCTGGCCTCAAACTCACATAGATCTGCCTGCCTCTGCCTCCTGTGTGCTGAGATTAAAGGCGTGCGCCACCAACACCTGGCCAGGCCAGGGATTTTCTGGAGTTTGATAAAGATCTGAGAATTCTCCACAAAGTAGGACAGAGGGCCTCATGTGCCCGGCTCACTGGGGGACCTTAAGGTTTTAAAAAGCCCATGTCTGTTACAAGATGTTTGATTATACTGTGTATGAAGATATGTCACTGTGATTGGTTTAATAAAAAGCTAAACAGCCAATTTCTAGGCACAGAGGACGCTGGCAAGAAGGGAGTTGAAGGGAAGAGAAGAGACACAAAGCAAACAGCATGGACATCAGAAAGTAAAAGTAGCCAAGCCAAGCAGAAGAACAAAGATTGAAAGATATGGGTTAATTTAAGTTATAAGAGCTAGTTAAAGAGCTGGGTGTTGGTGCCGCACACCTTTAATCCCAGCACTCAGGAGGCAGAGGCAGGCGAATTTCTGTGAGTTTGAGGTCAGCCTGGTCTCCAGAACGAGTGCCAGGACAGGCTCCAAAGCAATACAGAGAAAACCTGTCTCGAAAACCAAGCAAGCAAAACCAAAGTAAATAAGTAAATGGGGATTTACATACATTTATAGATGGTTAGTCACTTAGTATGTTGGGAAGCAGACAGGCATGGTGCTGAGAGGCTTACAACCCTATCCATAAGCAGCAGGAGAAAGACATAACCACAAAGCCCAGCGACTTGCTTCCTTCTCCAACAAAGCCACATACCCCTAATCCTTTCCAAACAGTTCAACAACTGTGTCCTGAACATGCAAATAAACCACTACATCAAGCTCCAATTAGAGGCTTTTTCTTTTCTTTCTTTTTTTTAAAGACTTTTTTTTTTTAAAGATTTTATTTATTTATTATGTATGTAACATTCTGCTTCCATGTATATCTGCACACCAGAAGAGGGCACCAGATCTCATAACGGATGGTTGTGAGCCACCATGCGGTTGCTGGGAACTGAACTCAGGACCTCTGAAAGACCAGTGAGTGTTCTTAACCACTGAGCCATCTCTCCAGCCTGCTTTATTTTTTTTTATAAGTTGGCTTAGTTGGTGTTTTTTCACAGCAATACAAAAAATAACTAAAAGCTAGGTGTGGTGGTGCAGGCCCTTCAGTACCAGCAAGGTTGATCTCTGAGTTGAGATCAGCCTGGCCTACAGAGTGTGGGGATCCCTGTGAGAGCCGCTGCTGGCAGGAAAACAATCTGGGTGAGTAAGAATGAAATTCAGGCCCAGGGCGGTTTTGGCACTTAGCACACACCTTTAATCCCAGAACTTGGAGGCAGAGGATCTCCGGGAGTTCGAGGACAGAATGTAACTCAGTCCAGCTCGACTTTAGTCAATACTGGTTCAAACTTCTAAAGTCTGACTCCAGGTGGTTTATTGTAAGCATATCATTTTTTAAAAAGATTTATTTATTTATTATGTATACAACATTCTGCCTCCATGCCAGAAGAGGGCACCATATCTCATTACAGATGGTTGTGAGCCACCATGTGGTTGCTGGGAATTGAACTCAGGACCTCTGGAAGAACAGTCAGTGCTCTTAACTTCTGAGCCATCTCTCCAGCCCGTAAGCATATTATTTATTTATTTGTTTGTTTTTGTTCTTTTGAAACAGGGCTTCTCTGTATAGTCTACAAATCAAGTTCCAGAACAGCCAGGGATGTAAAACAAAGAAATTCTGTCTTGAAAAACCAAACAATAACAACTATAACAAAAAAAGCAACAAAAGATGTACATATACTTAGGAATGTACATATCTATACATTTACACAATAATAAGGATCTGACAGATGATGACTCTGCTGCTCCCAGCATGCATATAAGGCTGCTTACAACCATTTGAAACTCCAGTTCCAAAGGTTCATATACACTGACCTCCAAAGGCACCTGCATGTATGTGGTATAAACAAAACTCTTGCAGCCTCCATCCCCTGAACACACACACCTTCAAAAAGTATAAACTCCATCATTTTCTCTCTCTCTCTCTCTCTCTCTCTCTCTCTCTCTCTCTCTCTCTCTCTCTCTCTTTTGGTTTATTGTTTTTGTTTTTTCCAGACAGGGTTTCTCTGTGGCTTTAGAGGCTGTCTTGGAACTAGCTCTTGTAGACCAGGCTGGTCTTGAACTCACAGAGATCTGCCTACCTCTGCCTCCCAAGTGCTGGGATTAAAGGTGTCCACCACCACCGCCTGTTTTTTGTTTTTGTTGAGACAGGGTTTCTCACTTGGCCAGACACTCAACAGTTGACAAGCTGGCTAGCCAGGAAGCCCTAGGAATCTCCTTGTCTTTGCCTCCCTAGTGCTAGAATTACAAGTGCATACCACGGCACCTGTTTTGTTGTGTTTTTCACTTATATTCTGGAGCCTTTAAGTCAGGTCTTTGTGCTTGAATACCAATCTCATTAGAGCTGAGGTATCTCTTCTGTCCCCACTGTGTGACATTATCCTGAGAAGACATGAACACCTACTGTCCTAGTCACTGTTTATGGCTGTGAAGAGACACTACAACCATGGTAACACTTATAAAGGAAAGCATTCACGTGGGCCTGGCTTACCGTGCAGAGGGATAGTCCATTACGTTCCTAGCAGGGAGCATGGTGGCTCACAGGCAGACATGGTGCTGGAGAAGCTGTTGAGAGTTCTACATCTGGATCCACAGGCAGCAGAAAGATAAAGCCACACCGGGCATGGCTTGGACTTTTGAAACCTCAAAGCCCATCCCCAGTGACAAACTTCCCCCCAAAAGGCCACGCCTCCTAATCCTTCTCGAGTCTGTAATGATAATTTTTTCTGCCAGCTGCCTGAGTTCTGCCATCATGTTAGGGCCCCCAAATAACACACAGGGTCTTATATTAGTTACAATGCTGCTGGCCAATGACTAGGATTTCTTATTTGCTAGCTCAGTCTTAATTATCAACCATAACACTGGGCGTTGGTGGAGCACGCCTTTAATCCCAGCACTCGGGAGGCAGAGGCAGGCAGATCTCTGTGAGTTCGAGGCCAGCCTGGTCTACAGAGCGAGTGCCAGGATAGGCTCCAAAGCTACACAGAGAAACCCTGTCTCAAAAAAACAAAAAGAAAATATCAACCATAACTACTAATTTATATATTTTTATACTTACTTTTCGAGGATGCCAGGGGCATGCATCCTCTTTTCACAGGATCACATGGCAACTCTCTTTACTACATTTCCCAGAATCCTCCTTGACTCCTAGCCCCACCTATCTTGCTTCCCTATTGGCCAACAGTGCTTTATTTATCAACCAATAAAACAAACATATACACATAAGGCCCTCCCCCATCAAGTGTCACTCCCTGATCACTATGCACTCAAATCAATGAGCCTGTGGGGCCATTCTTATTCAAACCACATCTACTAACACCAGATTTAAAAAAACAAACAAACAAACAAACAGTGACAGCCAGATCTCTGAGTTCAAGGCCAGCCTGGTCTACAGAGGGAATTCCAGGACAGCCAGGGAAACAGTAGAGAAACTCTATGTCTCAAAAAACCAATTAACCAACCAAACAAACAAAGCAAACCAAACACCAGACAGAGACCCAATTAAGGATACCCAAAGTCCAACCTGGAGAAGCATTGAGGTTTACTGGGTGTTATTTACGGGAGGATGGCTTAAGGGGTTACAGGAGGAGAAATGACTCAAAGTCACCAAAAGCCAGACCACCGCAGCATGATGAGAGTTCACCAAATTGGAAGCCTGGAGTTCACTGCATGACTCACAGGCAGCTCAACAAGTTGGAGAATGTCTCTTCCCGACAGTTCAACCGGTCTCTGCCTCTGGCAGGCAGTTTGGTTTGTTTACTGATTGTCTCCAAGCAGTCTTTACTACTTATATAAGCTCTGGGGTGGTAGTGGTGAATCTGGTTAGATTTAGGGACTTCCCGAAGCTATCTAGTTGTTTATTTCCTGAGTTTTAAGGAGCTTCCCTGAAGGATGGAGTGAATTTTTTTTAAAGATTTATTTATTTATTGTGTATATAGTGTTCTTCCTGCATGTCTACCTGCAGGCCAGAAGAGAGCACCAGATCTTATTACAGATGGTTGTGAGCCACTATGTGATTTCTGGGAATTGAACTCAGGACCTCTGGAAGAACAGTCAATGCTCTTAACCCCTGAGCCATCTCTCCAGCCCATGAAATTTTTTAAAACATTTTTTATGTGCATTGATGTTTTCCCTTTGTGTATGCCTCTGAAAGGGTGCCAAATCCTCGGGAACTGGAGTTACAGACAGTTGTGAGCCGCCATGTTGGGGCTGGGAATCAAACCTAGGTCATCTGGGAGAGGATTCAGTGCTCTTAACCCCTGAGCCATCTCTGCAGCTCTGTAATGAATGTTTTTGCTTGCTTGGTTTGGTTTTTCGAGACAGGGTTTCTCTGTAGCTTTGGAGGCTGTCCTGGCACTCTCTCAGTAGACCAGGCAGGCCTCAAACTCACAGAGATCCTCCTGCCTCTGCTTCCGGAGTGCTGGGATTAAAGGCGTGGGGCCACCACTGCCAGGCTGGCATGAATGTTTTATCTTGGAAGCACTTGCTATGTAAACAGTCCCCAAAACTGTTAAACCTTGGAGACAGGGACTCACTAAATAGGCTGGCTTTGAACTCACTTTTTTGTTTTTTTTGGAGACAGGGTTTCTCTGTGTAGCTTTGGAGCCTATCCTGGCACTGACTCTGTAGACCAGGCTGGCCTCAAACTCACAGAGATCCGCCTGCCTCTACCTCCTGAGTGCTGGGATTAAAGGCGTGCGCCACTGATGCCCAGCTGAACTCACTTTTGTAGACCAGGCAGGTCTTGAACTTTCTTCTTCTCCTTCTTCTTTTGAGACAGGGTCTCACCATAAGACTTTCAACTTCCTTTTCTTTTTTCTCTTTTTTTGGGGGGGTTGGGTGGGGTGGTTTTTCAAGACAGGGTTTCTCTGTCTTGGAATTCTCTGTACAGGAATTCTGTAGACCAGGCTGGCCTCAAACTCACAGAGATCCACCTGCCTCTGCCTCTTGAGTTCTGGGATCAGAGGTGTGCGCCACCATGCCTGGCCTGTTCGTTTGTTTTAAATTATGTGTCTGTCTCCATATGGGTATGTGTTTGCACAGTGTCTCTGCAGGCCAGAGGAGCACTCCATCATCGGGAACTGGAGTTGCAGGCAGCTTGTTGAGCCACTTGATCTGGTCAGGTGCTTGAAACTCAACTCCAGGGTGCACTTTCTTTGTTAAAGGTGTCTGGACCACACCATGCTTTCCTTCAGCATACACTTTCTACTTTAGAACCTCTCGCACGCGTGTGTGTGCTCGCGTGTGTGTGTGCGTGTGTGCGTGTGTGTGGAGACAGAATCCAAGCTCTCATCCATGCTAGGCTATATGCTATCCTGTTATACTACCAAAAACTTTCACTTATAACACATGGGCAGCTGGGTGGTGGTGGCGCTCGTCTTTAATTCCAGGCAGAAGCAGGTGGATCTTTGTGAGTTTGAGGTCAGCCTGGTCTACAGGGTGACTTCCAGGACAGCCAGAGCTACACAGAGAAACCTGTCTGGAAAAACAACAACAACATGTAAGACTTATCTCCCACTACTGTTAATAGCTTTATTTATTTATTTACATTAAAATCCTTAATGATAGGGCTGGGGAACTGGCTCAGCAGTTAAGAGCACGGCTGCTCTTCCAGAGGACCCAGGCTCAGTTCTCATCACCCATATGGCAGCTCAGAACCATCTATAAATCTTTATTCATTTATTTTATTTTTTGTTTTGTTTTTCAAGACAGGGTTTATTTGTGGCTTTGGAGACTGTCCTTGAACTAGCTCTCATAGCCAGGCTGATTTCAAACTCACAGAGATCTGCATTCCTCTGCCTCCCCAGTGCTGGGATTAAAGGCGTGTGCCACCAACGAACGGTGACACTAGTAAACAGTTTGTTGTCCAAATGGCTATTCCTGCCATGTAAAAGGCAAACTCCATAACGAATTTCTTCGATGTCCATCTTCCTCTCTGATGTAATTTGGTAATGCCAGGAGCAGTTGCGTCTCACAGTCATGGAAACCCTTAATAAACCATTTTGAATGCCACCAACGCCTGGCTCCATCTGTAAATCTTGTTGCAGGGATCCAACACTCTCTTCTGGCCTCCATGGACACTAGGTGGCATTAATAAATGCAGGCAAAATCCACACATGCAATAAGAACAAATCTTGAGCTCAAATTCCTAGCACTCAAGTAAGAAGCCAAGCATGGGGCTGGAGAGATAGCTCAGCAGTTAAGAGCACTGGCTGCTCTTCCAGAGGTCCTGAGTTCAATTCCCAGCACCCACATAGTGACTCAACAACAATCTGTAAGGAGATCTAGGGTCCTCTTCTGGCCTGCAGGCAGACACTGTATATGTAATAAATAAATCTTTAAAAAATAGAATTAAAAAAAATAGCCAAGCATGGCTACACATGTGCATGTAAACCTTATTGCTTGCCATGGGAAGGGAATTTGGGAATGGGGTGGGGACTGCAACAGGAGGAACCTGGGGCTTGCTGACTGACAGCCTAGCTCTAGGTTAGGTGAGAGACCTTGTCTCAAAGGTGTAAGGCAGAGTAATACAGCAAGATGCCGGAAATCCTCTGGCTTCTGCATGCACGCACATGGACACACACACACAAGAGGAATTTTTAAAAAAAAATCTTTTTTTTTTTTTTTTTTTTTTTGGTTTTTCGAGACAGGGTTTCTCTGTGTAGCTTGGGTCCTTATGCTGGCACTCGCTCTGGAGACCAGGCTGGCCCCAAACTCACAGAGATCCACCTGCCTCTGCCTCCCAAGTGCTGGGATTAAAGGCGTGCGCCACAAACGCCTGGCTAAAAAATCTTTAATGACATATTATTTGTTATTTTCCAACAAATGGCTGGCCAGTTGGCACCAGAGTCAATAACAGTTAGTAGGTCATATAAATTACAACTTGATAAAAGTGACATACATAACCTTTCATAATCCCTGAAAAACTAGCATTGTTAAACTATGGCATACACACAAAAAATTGCCAATGAATTATGAATTGGAGACTTCTGAAGCAGACACCAATCATCTCTTGCAAGGGAGCACCAGGAGAGTCCACTTCAGGGCAGAATGCAAAGCAAAGCAGGCCTGTGGCTGGCCAACCATAGCTGGTTGTCCTATGAGACAAGCCCTAGCTATAGAATTACAAATTTGCATATTTCCTTTTTTTTTTTCTTTTTTGGAGACAGGATTTTACTATGTAGCCCTGGCTGGACTTGAACTCAGATATATGCTTGCCTCTGCCCCCTGAATGCTGGGCCTGGGTCACTATGCCAGTTTTTTTTTTTTTTTTTCCCCATTTCCTATTGAATAGAGTAGTAAGCAAAAAGCATAAATAGTTTAGCTGAGTTTTTTGGTCATTTGTAAAGCCCAGAGTTTACTGCTCAGGATTCTTCAGACCTGTTCACTTGTTTTAGTCAACCGTGTGTGCTTTGTCACTGTACGTAATGTTAAAATTAGCCAACGAGGAAGGTGCTGAAACAGAATCCTAACTATTGTGATTAATTAACTTGTATACAAAGAACAAAAAGGCAGAGAACCTTTGTTTTGATTTTAGGGGATGGTGTTTTGAGTCTCATAGCCCAAGCTAACCTTGCATCAGAGATTTTTTTTAGACAGGGTTTCTGTGTAACATCCTGGCTGTCCTAGAACTTGCTTTATAACTCAGAATGCCTCAAAATCACTGAAATCCACCTGCCTCTGCCTACCAGGAGCTGGTATCAAAGGCATGTCCCACCACTGCCCAAGGCACCCGAGATTCTTTTGCCTTAGTGTCCTGACTGCTGAGATTATAGTCCTTTGCTGCTCAGCGTGAGTGAGTCTTGATGCAGGTCTCATGTATACCAATCAGGCTTAGCTCAAATTCCCTATGTGTCCAAAGATGACCTTAAACTTCAGATTTTCCTGCCTGTACCTGGTTAGTGCTGGGATTACAGGCACATACACCACCAGGTCTAGTTTATGGGGTTCTGGAGATCAAGCCCAGGACTTCATGCATGCTAGTTCTGCCAACTGAATATATAGCTCCAGTTTTTTATTGCCTGACGACTTTTTTGTTTTTTGAGACAGGGTCTCTCTATGTAGTTCTGGTACTTGCTATGTTTACCAAGCTGGCCTCAAACTCAAGAGATCCTCCTGCCTCTGCCCCTGA